TCTAACCCTCCCCACTTTCAATTTAAAGCCATAAATCATTTAGATCATGCTAGAAATGTGTCTCCTAATGTGTATTTCGTTACTAGCCTAGGTCTTTCAGTGGTGCCCTACGCAGAGGTTATTTCTGCTAGCTGCTTGGAACGAGGGCTGGAATGAGAACGGACACGGAAGTGGCTCCAGAGGCCTAACGGAAGAGAGGATTGTGAGGATCAGGGAAGGAAGCCTGGAACAGGCAGAAACAAACAGGAATTTTCACAGGCCTAAGGCCATTTGTGTTTGGCAGGAACTAGCTGTCTCATAAAGACCTCATCTCACATAAAAATGTTTTGTTTAGGGATTACTGCACTTTCCCACTAGGAAGGGAATAAAGCCCCTTCCTTGGGGGGAACTATCTGCTTCTAAACAAAGAAATTCTTATGTAAAGGCTTCTATGTGGAGAACAAAAGTTTTCATAACCAGTGATTTCCAAGCCAATGTCTCGCTGCAGTCTGGACGGTGCCAGTGCAGATCGCAGCCCCACTGAGACAGACCCCATTTCTTGCATTCACCAAAATTTTAAGACATTCTTTCTCTGGAGGAGAAGAATTGTGCATGTGGTCCTGCTCACCTTGAGGATATTACATTATTACCATCCTCAGCCTTGTTTTATTTCGCTCCAATAATCCCAATGATTAAATGCACAAGAACATCTGCATTCTGAATTATTTGGCTCCAGTAAATGAACAGCATTTGCCAGCAATCACATATAACACTACTTACATGCACTCTTCTCTGCTGATTGCAACGGTGACTAGAGCAGTAAGTACTATGTTGTCCTATGATGTGCTCTTCAGAGGAATTCATACCCGTGACAATAGGTATTGTGTTCTGCTAAATATGCATGTATGTGCTTTCCTTCGCTCCTGTGCATGCACACAAACGCAGGCAGGTGAGCTAGGCAACTTTACACTCTTCTGAACTACTGGGCTACATATGCATCAGTGATAGCAGTCATGAAAATCCAAGCCACATACGTAGATCAACAACATATTAATATTTCAGTGACATGCCAAATATTTTTTCTCCCTGAACAATATTAACTCTCATGTCATCTGGTGGGAACTGTGAAGAGTAGATGGAAAGAGGCAATACAAAAAGAGAAATCCAATTTTGTATCCCTTCTAGTTAAAAATTTTAAATAAACCCTTATGTTATTTCCCGTAGGCAGTACCATATTCACTATGTTGATTTTACGAAACAGTCATAATCCACTTTGTGATTATTAATCTCACATTACAAATGTGAGATTTGTAACAGAGCTGAGGTAAATTTAAGTTATAAGCCACACAAGCAGAGAGAAACAAATACCCAAAGGGCAAGAAAAATGGGTCCCCCAAAGAGGACAATTTTACACAAAGGTGCACACTGGAAATACCAAGGATATTTCAAATAGTAACAAGCATGAGTGATTGCCTAATTGCACTGTTAGTTCCTTAAAGCAGATTTCACAATATGTGCAGATTCACAGAGAGGGAGTGAGGTTTATTGATTAATTTTTGGTTTTAAACTGACACGCAATTTTCAGGTTGCTTTTTTCCCTTCACACAAAGGACCTCAGCAGTTTTCAGGTGTAGCAGCCGTACCTCCCCTTTCCAAGGCTGCGAGAAATGCTGATGTGCCAGTTTTCATACTAGGGGAGCTAGGGCGTTGGATGTTTCACAGCAGGTACTGGGTTTTCTCATTCTGCGAGTCTGAGAAATTCCAAATACTGGTTCCGTTCTTACGTGCATAGCTCACAAGTCTCCAGCAACATCTTATCCCACTCTAAGATCAAGATCAAATTCATACATGAAGGTTTCTGCCACTCTTCAACTTGTCCTGGATTCACTCTGCAGGTTAATAACTGACCTCGGCATTGGAACATGTAGCTGCTAGCTCACGTGAGAGCTGCTAGCTCACGTGAGAGCTACCGTTTGTTTGCTTCAGGTTTCAAAATGTGGCTGCTTTTTCTTTGGAGCAAAGCTATTTTACTACTTCTTTCAAACATGCCCCGTCTGATCTGCTTGCATCCGGTTCTGTGGTGGTCTCCGCCAACGGGTTGTGGATAGGAATGCAAGTGGGAGAAGGGCAGGATCTCCACAGAGCCATGGACAGCAGCTGAACTCTGGGTAAAAGGGCAGATCGTTGCCTTCAAACTCCGTCTCCCAAGGGCTGTAAGGTGTTTTAGATGATGCAACCATCTTAAAACAGAGATGACATTTTAAAGGAGTACTAATCACAGCTGTACCATCTTACCTTTGTTTCTGCTTTAAATTCTGTAAGTCACTGAATTTACTAAGAAAGCATAAAGAGAAGGATTACTTAATAATTTCTCAAACATATACACAAGCCTACACACAGCACCTTCACTTGTTCTGAAGTCTTTGTTTTGACTTACATGCGCTCGTACACAGGAACAAACGTCAGTATGAAAAATGGCAAACTCCTCAAACATCAGCTCTGTGTGTTAGTTCCAACACGGATGACAGACAGTCCTTCCCCCCATCAGGGCTGGTGACCCGGCACCGCTACGGAAGCGTGACCTGGGTTCCACTGCGTTTCGCGCCCCATCAACAAAACTGTCAGTTCAGCTCTAACTGCAAAAATCTTTATTATTATTGATGTATGAGAGCAGGCAAAATGTAAATTATTAAACAGAACCTCGGTAGATTTGCACTAATGGACTTCTGCCTAGTAATAACACCTAATTACAGATTAAACACACATCTGGAGGTTCATGGGAGAAAGTCAGCATTTTCTTTTCTCTGCAGCAACTTTTCATTTTGGGGCCACTCTCCAACGGCCTGGAGACCATGCTGCTGTTCACCACAACGAAAAGTTGTCCCAAAACAAGATAGCTGCATACACACTCTGTAAGCACTGTGAAATGAACTTCACCTTGAAATGGAACAAAAGGTTAGAGGAAAAAAGTAGGTGCCCACCAGAAACAATGGCAGAGACCAGCACAGAATTGATGTCTGCCTGACTTCTAGACCACTGCCACACCAAAAACCACACCTGTCCAAACTCAAATGCGAAAAAGCAAACAGAAAAAGTACCCTTGGCAACAAGGCGTGCGGACACACAAGGTCAGTGTTCCATAAACTCTCAGCTTCACAAGCAGAAATGCAGGGCCAGTGATTTATAGGCAACTCCTGCTGATGTTGCCAATCGCTACCGTAGAAGTTTTGTGCCTTCTTCACAGCAGTGGCCTGTAAAATCTTTTCTGCATTTCACCTGCTAAAGCTCAGCTAGGACACACGTTCCTGTGGCTCCTTAGTGTGTGTTACAGCTGTCGCTAGATAACCCTGCAAAGACAACACTCACGCAGCTAAGCCCTGCTCTCACTTGTTTTGAATATACACAATTTGTGCACCTCTTGCAAGCCGTTCCTCTCAGTGGGTTGTTCAGTACATCATCTACCTGGAGATTGGGGTCGGCTTGTTTTTTTAAGCGTTTCCTCCACAATCATTTGCCTTACAGGCACGGAAAAAATAGCCTTTTGTTTCTGCCATTTGCCTACTTCTACCTCTGGCAGAGGTTGTGCCAGAGGCGTAACCAGTAATATTTATCTTAATGTCCAAGTCAGGTAAACATACCCAATGGATGCTTCTTTACCTTTTTAAATAGGTTACACAGCATTTCAATAGTCAGTGGGTATGCTACAAACATTTATCAGCTAACAGTCTCTTCCCACAGCATTCTGGCTCCTTAAAGCTATTTTCTGATCAATTATCCCAACTCTCACCTTCCAATAAGAAACTAATAAAACTCACAGGAGACAATTTACTTTTTTCCAGAGCATTATGAATTAACATTTTTTTAAAGTAATGGTCAGAACTGAGGAAACTTGTGAAGATGAAACAGCATTACAGATGTCTGCCTTCTGTGCATCTGAGGTTCACATACCTTTATGCTTAGCACATTTGCACACTTCACAGGAATAAGGAAGGGAAACGATTTCCAGCAATCACGGCGTCATGACGTGTTTTTGCCCTAAAGGATGAAGCTATGCTTCCCTTCCTGTTAACTTGCATTGATGACAAAGATCCCACAAAATAAACATAACCTGCCTCTTTCTCCCAACTGACGTTAGACCCTCGACTGGCGTCAAGTATCTCTGTTACCTTTTGGAGGTGAGTTGAGGATGTCACTTAGGGCACACGCTGAGGACAACCACTGTTTAACAGTCTCTTGAACTGGAATCTCATTACCATCTTATTAATTCTGATCAGAGTTATAAGGGCCACGTGGCATTCATAATCTACTGGGGCTCTTTCTCTGACTGCACACTCTGAATCTGTGGACTACTGCTGTCAGTGCTTATAGGAAGAGAGCCAAACTTGTACAGGAAAGTTCATCTTGGAAAACACTGAAGTCACAGGCAGCTGTGTGAACAGGAGTGGGTTCTTCCTTAGCACAGAAAATTCTCATTAGCTATGCAAAACTTTACAAATATTGGAATACAAATTGGACCTGGGCCCTCAAAACCATGTAGATTTGTTATTATGGTCATAGCAATTTTTATTTTAAGACCAAAGGCCCAAAATGATAAAAGGAATACATAAAAGTAGCCTTCTCTTCCTGTCAGTTTTATAGGTAACAGAACATATTGAAACTGGGGATCGAAATTCTTCCTTCGTGGAGCTGACTAAATGCCAGCACCACCACTGTATTTCAAATGATACTAAGATCAAGGCAACCCAGATATCTTTGATTAAGCCCAACCATTAGCAATACTTTTCTTAATCAGCTTCTCAGAAATTCTCCAGAAACGCTTTGAAATCAGACATCAAAGTCAGAAAAAAAAGACGACACAGAAAAAAAAGACGAGTGATAATAGGAAACATACAGAAAAACCTACAAACCCACGTCATTCTATCTGCTGCTGCCACGTGTTTTACAGCCCCGCGGGTCAGCCAGCGCAGCAGATCGTGTCCGGTGTAGGCTTCAGGGAGTGGGGGACAGCCGGAGCATTTTACCTGTCAAAAGACGGCTTCTCTCCACAGTCAAATGCATCCTGTAGCTCCTTGACAAGATTAGCCTGCCCAGGCAGTCGGAAGAGGCCTTCTTCCTTCAGCCCCCGCTGTCGGATAAAATCCACGCACTGCTCCACCAACATAGGAGCCAGGCGGTTCCCATATCGCTTTTCATATCGAACAGTGTCTTCCAGCTTCTGCCCAAAAATACCTGCACGAAGAAGAGACGGGACTGAGCTGAGATACGTCAAAACATTTGAGGAGCCCAAGTCTTCTATTCTAACACACGCAATTTACAGGTCATTTTAATGCATGAACGATTAGCCTACTCCTTTCTTAAGGATAAAATGCTCAGGTTCACCTTTGATACTCTCACGGAAATACAATGCTGATATTTCACAACAACACTCAAAACCATAATTTAAAATAAAACACTGTAAATGATTTTTCAGACCACAAGCACAGAAAACATAGAAGTAATACAAATAAGATTTTCAGACACAAAATTTCTCATTCAGAAGTGATACACATCTTCAGCCTCTTTGGTTCATGCCTGATTACAAAAAATTAAGTAGTTCCTGTATCAGTGTCAATGACATACAAACATTACTGTTACACATGAAGGGCAAGAGATTGATAAATTATTGCTCCTACTAAACCAAATTTTGAAGTTTTAATTATTAAGTTTTCCCACATAAGCAGAGACCATTCCTATAATGTATTACCAATTGCATTATCACCGTCTGCTTTAACAACAACAAATTCTGTGTATGAAAGATGATCCTGACGTGAAAGGTGAAACACCTAAGAAAAACTGCAGGAAACCTACATTCGTACTTAACCTCAACAGCAGTAAGTAGGGGGACTGAACATGCCAGAGCCATTCTTCATTAGCTCACTCTTCATGTTGCACAGAACCCAAACCCCAACTATTGGCAATTAAAGAAGGAATTTTTGAAATTTCAGAACGAGTCAAGCTTCGAAGACTACTGCCTGATGTGACGTATTTGGCATACGTGAAGATCATCATGTTTTCTTTATTTTTACATACCCTCTTAACCTCCTGCAAACTGCCTATGGGGATGGCAGGAGTACTAAATGAATTCGGGTTTGTCAGGTTTGTCTGAATTAGGAGTTGCTGCTGGTCAACACGGACGAAATCCTCAGGTCCTTCCATTTTCTAGGCTCTCCTACTGAAAGCAGTGAAACTAGGGAGGAAGGTCAACGGAAAGTCAGTTTAGGAATGCTTATGGTTACAGGACTTTGGTGATTTCAAACCCTTCATGTACAAGAAGGCTGCTGGGTGCCCCTAAAATTGTCTCTTCTCCTGGCTGAACAAGCCCCATTTCCTCTGCCTCTCCTCAAAGGGCATGTGTTTTAGCTCCCCAACATCTCAGTGGCCCTTTGCTCATCTTCCTCTTCTTTTATCTTACACCTCCCAGCCTTTTTTTTTATAAATGGACAAAGTATTTGAAATACAGTTTAAAAATGCTGAGCAGAGGGGGTTAATGACTTCTTCCACTGCAAGTCCACTGCAGGCTCCTGTCCAGCTTACTGTCCTGCAGGGCACCCAAGTCCTTTCTGCAGAGCAGAAAATTTATTCCTGCTTAGGTGTAGGACTTGGCTGTCCTACGCCAGTTTGTCCTATGAACATACAGTCTGAGCTTCCCTTCAAGAGCTCCTGAGATCTCGGGTTTTAAACATGAGGTTTTGACTCTTTTAAAAAAAAAAAAATCAGTATAAGATAGTCAAATTATAAGATATATATAATTTCAACTCACGCCCACTGACAGTGAATTTAGTATGAATAGGCCTTGTCCTATTCGCTGTACTTTCTTCTTTGGATGCTAACATTCTTTAATCAGTACTGTGCATCTCACAACTTACATGTACAGAGGAACTCTAAGTTCTCAGACCCACCCGACTGCTTGGAAACTCCTATTAGTAATAACACTGCAATCAAAACACATCACAGCCCAGAAAGCCAACCGTATCCTGGGCTGGATCAGGAGAAGTGTGGCCAGCAGGGCGAGGGAGGGGCTTCTGCCCCTCTGCTCTGCTCTGGTGAGACCCCACCTGGAGTGCTGCGTCCAGCTGTGGAGCCCTCAGCATCAGAAGGATATAGACCAGTTGGAGCGAGTCCAGAGGAGGCCACGGAGATGCTCCGAGGGCTGGAGCCCCTCTGCCATGGGGACAGGCTGGGAGAGTTGGGGTGTTCAGCCTGGAGAAGGGAAGGCTCCGGGGAGACCTTATAGCACCTTCCAGTGCCTGAAGGGGCTACAAGGAAGCTGGGGGGGGCTTTTTACAAGGGCCTGAAGTGACAGGACAAGGGGGAACGGGGTTAAATTGAAAGTGGGGAGGGTTAGATTAGATATCAGGAAGAAGTTCTTCATGGCGAGGGTGGGGAGGCACTGGGACAGGTTGCCCAGAGAAGCTGTGGATGCCCCATCCCTGGAAGTGTCCAAGGCCAGGCTGGATGAGGCTTGGAGCAACCTGGTCTAGTGGAAGGTGTCCCTGCCCATGGCAGGGGGGTTGGAACGAGATGATCCCATCCAACCCAAACTATTCTATGACTCTATGATTAACACAATTTTTCAGATGCTGCTTTTTTTTTTCCCCTCCCTTCTTTATTTTAGAATTGGCTTTTAGAGCATGTCTAATAGATAATGAATAGCAGCAGAATAAGGGTGTTTTGCACACCACTTTATTATTATAGCCACTCCTATATTATTATAAATTGCTGATACCCCGTAACACAAAATGTATTGAAAACAGGTGGCCACATAAGATGTCTGTAACTGCTGTCAAACAGTAATTTTTATGACAAATAGAAAGTAATGAGTGATTCACATACAAAAGGTGACATATATTAAATGGATATAACAAACTTGGCTGTGTACTGTAGCAGCAAATCACAGGTACTGAATGAACCTGGTAAAACGGAGAGGTAAGCAGTATCATGAAAAAGAAATCCAAATCAGAGCCTAAAACTTCCGAGTTCTGTTCCCTTAAGAGTAAACACTGGATTGTTTCTACTACGGACTGCAATCAGGTGCACTGTAAATGAAGGGACTTTTATTGAGAGACTTAAACACCACATGGCTAGGAACGCGTGAAGGAGAGACAGAGTTAACTACCGCAGTTATCTCGGTTGGACAGGTTGGATTCAGACCCTACACAATCCTCAGAGCACGGTTGCATCAAGTCTGGCCATCTATTTACTCCGCAGCCAGGGGGGTAGGTTCTTGGCCCACCAGCCTCACACGTCAGCTGAGGCCTCAGGGACCTGGCTCCCCATCCGTACGAACGCTGATAATACCATCTCTACCTCACAGACATGGGGATCTCAACACTCAGCTTCGGGGAGCTCATAGCTAGTGTGGTAATTCTGACAGCTATGCAGTAACCTGAAGTTAAACTCATGGCAAATCCCATCACACCTTGGAGTGCTTCTGCAGTCACCATTTACCACGCTCTGCATTCTCCAGCTTGGCTGGCTTTGGAGTTGATCTCTGGAAGGCTTGGTTTGGTTTCAAAGACTAGGCTGAACTTCCCCAAAGGAAGTATTTCCTTCACATAACAAATGCAGAACATTGCACTAGGCAGCATTTGGCCATGAATGGAATCAGTCATGATAAACCTGCATAAATATTGACTTAAAGCTACAGACTTGCTGCTGCCTCATGGAAAAAATCCTCTGTTGACAGGGGCAGAAAAATTACAGCTCTGCTTCCACATCACGTCGTCACAACTGTTTCCTTGTTCATCATGTTTCTGGTGTCTGTCGGGTTTTTCACTGTTTTGGAATAAAAGCCAGGATCACTGCCCTGTAAGGTGTACCTTCTTCCACTGTCCCTCTTCTAATGCTTTTATCCCCTCCGACGCTGGAAGTGACTACTACAGAGCTATTGCAGATAATGGTTTATGAAGGCTAAGACGTTGACTATCATGAAGCAAAGAATGCTATGATGAACTGTGGTTGCAAACACAGTTACCTTAGTGGTTGACAGAGGCAGTCAACAATGAACACTATCAGCTCTGCCTGGTAACTACTACCATCTCCTTCACAGAGAAGCAAGGAAAAGACAGTCCAAGTTATAGAGACTACAACATAACCAAAAGCAAACAGATAATTTCACATGCTGGGTTTTTTTCTTTTTTTCAAAGTAATTTTCCACTACAGTAACTGAACAAGAACACCTCTGCGGAGGAGGGATTAAAAGAGAGCCCTCGTAACCCATGCTGTAATCCAAACCCAAGTTTTCCTCCTAAATCTCAGCGTCTCCAAAATCCACAAACGCGCAGGTGCACAAGTGCTGACCTGGGGTTTGGTTTATCCTTGGGATAGGGTGCCAGAGGGAAAACAAACCAACCAACCCTGCAAAAAAACCCTGAGATGCAGAATGGCGGGAGCTCGGCTTCCCCACAGCTGGCAGAAGGTAGGGGAACGTACAGACCTCCAGTTCTGACCGGTCACTAGATTTTATCAGCAGAATTGCTTTTTCAGAGAGACCTTTGCAGATCTTTAAAGCTATATCCAATTAAGTCAAGATCACGCACAACATCCAGCAGGAAAATCACATGCTAGTAAAGGACATGCCGAGCAGTTACTCATTAACTAGAACATTCCCGTGGCAGAAGTTTTGTAAACATTTTGAGAAACTGGATTTCCAAGAGAGAAATGGACGGACAGACACCCATAAAGCTTATGAAAGACACTACTGCGCTATATCTAAGTTCTGCATACATATCTTCAAGAGTTGAAAATACCACAGTGCTTTCACAAGGGTACATATTCCCAGTTAAGAGTTTAACTTCAAAATTTAAGAACGCTGTTAGTCAATGATTGCCTTAGCTACCTTAGCAGGGGTGACATCTCAAGCCTATTGACTCCATGCGTCTTAGTAAGAAAAAAGGAGAAAGATCTGTACTCTGCTCTCATGAGACACCCCATGGAGTGCTGCATCCAGCTGTGGAACCCCCAGTATCAGAAGGATATAGACTGGTTGGAGTGAGTCCAGAGGAGGCCACTCTGTGGCTGTTATGGCTTCCTAACACTTACTATGGAGTCTTAAATGATTATTTCTTATCAGCTCTGGTGTTCCTCAGCACTACGTGGTGTTCTGAGTAGATCAAATGCAGGGAGTATTTTCTTATTCTCTACAGAGAAATTCTCTACGGAATTTCGTGATGTACGTGAGAGGAAAAATAGCAGTGGCAGAATTTTGTTCTCGCCTGACTCATTTTCTTTCCTTCAATCCCTGTCCCACCCTACAGTCGGTGTGATGTCAGCAGTAGATAAGGTAAGATAAACTCCTGCCCTGGAGTTCAGCACAGCTGCACACCACAGGTTCCTACCTAGAAAAAACAACTCTGAAATAAGAGCAGAACTAGCTACAGGCTGGAAAGGAAGGGAAGCAATTTTAAGATGATCACCAGGAACTTATCACAGCCTATCACATCAGGGCCTGCACCATTTCTCTGGCTGTGGCCAATGCCACCTCCTCCTCCAAAACTGCTCATCCAAATTCACCATGCTACTGAATGTTCTCACCACTGCATGCCAGCACGTCACCCTTAGTTACCGTTTTCTCCACAGTAACCCTGCATGCGCTCTCAAGAGTTCCCTGTGGTGGTACTTAAACAGAGAGCATCTTCTCCAAATTGGATATTCCAGAGGCTTGGCTCTGTCTCTGTTCAGATGCTGCCCTCTGAGCGCTGACTTCCTTAACGCAACCTCCCAATTAGGTTTGACTAATTTTCCAGTGCCCGTCACACTGCAGTTTGATCTGGATTTCCAGGAAGGGTTCTACACTACCTCATATCACCACTGAAGATGATGTATTTCTGCTTAAACATCCAATGCCATGATTCTCTTGTAGTTCTTCCAATGACTAGCCAATGATTTCTCATGCGGGTTTTGTTTTCTGCATTGTGCTGCACAGCTAGAACCAGCTGATCTGCTTTGAGCAAGTATGGCCTAGGTTTGCAGAGGGCTAGTTTTGCCTTTTTTTTTACTTAGGGATACAATCTGCAAATGAAGTTGAAAGAATTTGGTATGCCAATTAATAAGACAAGTGTAGTTCGTTGAATTTGGCTGTGCAACCATAGTAAAGGTTTGACTGAAAGTCCAGTTAATGTTCATCTTTCTGTTGACTTCAGTGGGTCACAGACCCAGTTAAACATGCACACCCAGCATTCTGCAGCTCTGATCTAGGGACCTTGTGACAACACTCTTGACAGAAAACCTGTATAAAGAAAGGAACCAAAACATGACAGAGAGAGCAAAGCAAATGAGCAGCATGGCCTCCATCATTCCTTCCTCTGCCCCAAGCACTGCAGCTTCACTTGGAGTTTTAGACATCAGAGTTGCTGTGTCAGAACATATGGGGAACGAATCAACAGCTGAAGCTCTTCTTGGAGTGGTTAAGGCTGCACCCCAGGCAAAAAGGCAGCTGTCTGCAAGATTATCAGTACATCCTTTATTCAACTCCCATACATTTTTCAAATAGTTAAGTGTATAAACAGGGCAGAGACAGCTCTAATTCTACACTGACACCTCGAAACACACCATCACACTTCAGAGAGACACATCTGCGTCCTCCTGGCACGTCTCCAGAAGGACTGAACTCCAGCAACCAAGGGAAATGTTGGTCTCGAGGAGGGGGCGTGCAGGGGGCAAACAGCTTTCAATGCTATCTCAGCTGCAGCCAATAGCTGATCTCTGCTGCAGTCCCCAGGCGAGTCCCTTGCCGGTTGTGATCCCTCGTTTCGAGGCATCACCTCTAACTGCCTGCGCGCACAATCCTCAAAAGCCATGACGCCGCTGCGTCGCTACCGAGGCTTGTGAGCAAAGAGCTGCATGGTCTTGCAAAAGGACAAATGGCAGCATGGAGGAACAGTTTAGGGAGGAGCAGGAGATGAAGATGACGGTATAAGACCTGTGTAAGATCATTTATCACACTTCAGAATAACATGACCATCTTTGCACTTGGATTTCTCTGTCCAGCACAGTTTTCAAGGCAGCACCAATAGCCTCCTCTGCCCCCACACAAAGCTTTTATCCTCGTCATAAAGGTTTCTCCCCACCCATCCCAATCCTGGTGGCACCTTATCATCGTTTGTCCTAGCTTTTTCTCATACGGGTGTTTTGCTTCCAGTGTCCAGCTGACATATTCTGAAAGCCATCCTCCCCTTTGTCACCCTCCCCCCAGCACTGCCACGCTCTTGCTTCAACAAGAGCATGTGCAATGCAGAAGAAAACTGGCTTTAAGCATCTCTATGCAGCAGGTGGAAAGGCAAAGGCAGGATGAAGTACGTGGCAATGCAGCACTTAAACAGGGCAGCGTGTGGCAGGGCTACACTTCAATCCATCAGAACACTCTGAATCCAAGGACTTCTGCACAGATGCACACTTATCACGCTGCTGTTCTCCCTCTCTTCTCCCCCCTCCTGCCGCACAGACAAAAAGCAGACCCAAACTCTCTTCCCTGATGTTCTTTCTCCCAGACAGATAGGCAACTCAGAACATCACAGGTCTGATCCCCCCACTGCTCTCCCTGATTCCTGCTCAGAGGCTCGACAGTAACCTCGTCTCAAGCCACCTCCTTCAGGCAGCCCATTCACGGGCTGTTACGAAGAGACAGTATCAGCTGGCCAGCTACAAAAAACGAACAAAGAAGTAAATAAATCATTCATGGAATGTTGGTATCCGCATTAACATCTTTTGTTTCAGTACTGTCATCTGCCCCTGCACGCGCTGCCCCCTTGAAAAACCCACGGCTTCACTAGCAAAGCAGAACACGGCAACAGCACGGACCTACCTTTACGGAAACTAAAACACCGCTTAATTCTCCTATAGGTAGTTTTAGGAATGAAAGGAGCTGCTGCTAAGGCACCTGGGCTGCGGACGCCAGCATTTCTGTCTTCAGGCATCATACAGGCCACAGCCCCCACGTCCCTCCAGAGCTTTCCACTACCAGCTGCATCCAGACAGAACACCGCGACTGCCCATCGCTACTGACTGCTGAGGACTTTCTCTAACAGTGTCTTTTCCTCCGGAGCTAGGAGAGCTGCGGGCTTCTGGATCTCGGGCAGGGCTCGAAGTGATCTGAATGTTATCTTCTGCGCTTCAATTTTGCTTTGGAGAACAATTTCCTTCCGTCTCTCTATTTCTTTTCATTCCTTTTATATCCTGCGGCGAGACAACCGTCTATTATGCAACGTGGCAACAAAAGAGTTTCAGCAAAAATACGTATCTTCCATTCAAACAGAAGCGCCTGCACGGACCGAGGGGGGTGAAGACCTCTTCCTCCCAGCTGGAACAGGGGGGCTGAGCGGCAGAGACTCCAATTCCAGAGGAAAA